AAGCTCATGAGTCTCCCAACCTAAGTAGCTTGCATTTCGTTTTCAGCTTTAATTTTTGTCTAACTGTTGATGCCTCGTTTGCAGATTCCAGTACGAGGTTCGAGTTGAGCAGGGAGGAGTTTGAAGTGATAGAGGATATTTACAAGAGACCTCTGAAGCTTCGCCACTTTGACCACTTCATCGACAGGAGCCGCTACTTCCTGGATTTCGAACTGATGGCTTCCAAGGGTATGAAGCTCCTACACTTGGTATATTTTTTGTGTTTTCATTTTGGTACTAACGCAGTGTGTTCTGCAGATAAGTTCAAGAGGAAGGAGTACCCAGCTCCTGACATGGGGTCCATTCTGAGGGCAACTTCCACTATGAAGGCGAGGCCCCTGAAGCCGGGGTCAAGTGGTGCGAATGAGGTTCGAGGTAAATTTGAACGACTCTCCAAGGACAGTACCTCGCGAGCTTCCAAGAAGGGGACCCCCAGAGGCAAGAAAAGGCCAAGGAGCCTCGGGGGAAGGAGAAAGTCCCTGAAGAGCCGAAAAAGAGGAAGTTGGTGCACATCTCCAGCTCGTCTGGCAAATTTAGGAGTTCTATGTCCCAAGGCAAAGACGCCGGTCCGTCGAAGCTATTGGAGGCCGCCTCGAAAGTGGCTAAAATTGAAATGGTCAGACATGCAGAGGTTGATGAGGTGAGGGAGGAGCTCTAAAGAGGCAAGTCGAGGTGGCTGCCAAAGAGAAACATGTTCGAGTACAAGGCAAGTCTCCGAGCTTCCTTGTCGATAGGGAGGAGCCTCTGGCCCCAGCTTTGGTGGAGGCCTTGCCACCTGAGATTCGAAGCGAAGTTTTTATAGATTCTGGACAGATTGGTGGCAGCTGCACGCTCCTCCTGTGATGCCACAGACTTGACCAGGGCTCTTGTGAGCCCAAGTGTTAGGACCTTTGGCCTCGCACTGGAGTGTAGGGAGGCTCTTACTGACTTTCAGATAAGAACCCAGTCCTCTGAGAAGAAGGCTGCCTCCCTTGCAGAGGAGCTGAAGGCAGCTAGGGCCGAGGCTGATGATGCCAGGGCCCAAAAACTTGAAGAATCGGCCAAGCTGGAGTCTGCCTTGGCTCAGGTAGAGGCATTGAAGAGGGAGGTGCATGAGTCCTAGTGCGAGGTAGCCTCCTTGACAAAGAAGGTGGAGGTCTCTAATGACCACCAGAGGGTCACAGCCGAAGCCTTGGAGAAGGCTAACCTGGAGTTGGCATGGGCCCAGGATGCATACAAGTTTATCAAGAGCCAAATTAAGTGGTACGTCGATGATACTACCCATGCTAAGGGGGAGGCTCAAAATGCAAGGGAAGCGGCAATGAAATACTATATTTCCAATTTCCACAATACTGAGGAGTACCAGAGCTTCAGCACCTACTGGAGGAACTTTGCTTATGCCGAGGTGATGGAGCGGGCTGAGGAGTTGTACCCAAATCAGGACCTGTTGCAACTAAGGTTGGAGATTGTGGACGAAGTGCCTCAAACCCCAGCTGGTGAAGCGGTGGGAGATAAAGTAGCAGAGGCAGAAGAAGCAAACTCTGACGCTCAAGCTGCGGACGCCCCAGCTGCTGAAGCACCTCCATTACCTTCTCAGGCTTAGGATAGTTTTCCTTTCAATTATTCATGATGTAGTGGCCTCAGGCCCTTCTTTTGTAACCTCAATTGAAAATCAATATAATACCTTTTTCGTCTAATGTTGTTTCTTTCTCCAAGTATGTTGGCCTCGCTAAGTAATTGAACATAAAATTGATTGAAGGAATAAATAACTTTAATTGGGTATCCTAACTCCAATCACTTGACCAAATAAATTGTATGAAAGCCTCATGAGTTCTGACCAATATGGGACTCAAGCAAATGAATTGTACTTAAGCTTAATAACTGTAATCTCAAGTGTATGAGCCTCGAATTTCAGGCGAGGTGGCCCAAAAACGGACGCTGGCCTCCCTTCTCAACATGGTGGATGGTGTAACCATGTTGAGGCTTCTCCTATTGGCGTTCAGCCTCAACAAAGGGAGGTATGTGCAAACGCCTCGGAGTTCAAGTGAGGTGGCCCAGAGATGGGACGCTAGCCTCTTCTTCAAGGTGACGACGCTTTCCAACATGGTGGATGGTACAGCCATGTTGAGGCTTTTTCCCTTGGCGTTCAGCCTCAGCAAAGGGAGGCATGTGCAAACGCTTCGGAGTTCGAGCGAGGTGGCCCAGAGATGGGACGCTTGCCTCTCCTCCGAGATTACGACGTAATGCAACACAGTTTTAAGCAAATGAATTTTATTGAATCATAGAAATGTTACATGAGCTGGGAAAGACCTTCCAGCGAGGTGATACATTCATTGGTAATAGATTCTGAAGTGCTCGATATTCCATGGACAGGGTTGTGCCTTTCCGTTCATGTCTTCAATCCAGTAAGTCCCAGGCCGAATCTCTTCTTTGATTTTATATGGGCCTTCCCAATTCGGACCTAGGGAACCGGCACCAAGTTCCTTTGAGGAGAGGAAACCCTTATTAGGACTAGGTCGTTGATTCGAAATGATCTCTTCTTTACCTTTGAGTTGAAGTACCTCGTCATCTTCCTTTGATATGTACCGAGCTTCAACTGGGAATCATCTCTTTTTTCATCAATGAAGTCGAGGTCGTACCTCCTAAGCTCGTCATTTGTCATCTCACTAAAATGCAGACGTCTTGGAGACAAGAGTCCGACCTCAACGGGGCTCATTGCCTCAGTTTCAAATGCCATAATGAAGGGTGTTTCCCCGGTTGGGGTCCTCGTGGTGGTTCGGATCGCCCAAAGTACTTGTGGCAGCTCATCCACCTAGGCCCCCTTTAACACATCAAGCTTCCTTTTTAGGACATGTTTGATTGTTTTGTTGACAGTCTCAACCTGGCCATTTGCTTGTGGGTGGTGAGGCGTGGAGAAATGCTTTTTGATGTCGAGTTCCTCGCATAGTGCTCTGACCTTCTTGTTGTCGAATTGTCTACCATTGTCTGAGACGATTGAGTTGGGAATCCCGAACCGGCATATAATATTCTTCCACAAGGACTTGGAAGTGTTTGCTTCTGTAATTTTTGCTAGTGGTTTAGCCTCAACCGATTTGGTAAATTAATCGATGGCCACAATCGCAAAGCTTGCACCTCTTCTACCTTTAGGTAGAGGACCTATGAGGTCCACACCCCACTTCGAGAAAGGCCAAGGGCTGGAGACCACAGTTAAATCCTATGACAGTTGTCTTTGTATCAAAGAGAATCGTTAGCATTTGTCACACTTTCGTACAAATTCGAGGGCATCTCTTTTTAGGGTAGGCCAGTAGTACCCTTGCCTCAATATTTTTTGCGCTAAAGATAGACCTTCGAAGTGATTGCCGCACACGCCCTCATGGACTTCTCTTAATGTCTAAGTAGCTTCTTCTCCCCCAACACATCTTAAGAGTGGAGAGGAGAAGCTCTTCTTATAGAGAACACCATCAACGAAGAGGAAGTGGGCTGACCTCCTTCTTAGCTTGTAGGCCTCATGCTTATCAGTGGGTAGTACCTGATCTTTAAGGTATGCTATGATAGGTTGCATCCAGGTAGGGGTCCCAACGACCCACATGACATTGGGGGCCTCGATCAATGGTAGGGAGAGGTGCTCTATGGGTACTACCGTGAGTAGTTTTGAATCTTTGCTACTAGCGAGCTTGGATAGTGCATCCGCATGAGAATTTTTTATGCGAGGGATCTGGGTCAGTTCAAATTTTTCAAAGGATGGGATGAGGTTCATCACCATTTTCAGGTAGGAGGCCATTATTTTGCCCTTGGCTGAGAAGTCACCATTTACTTGGCTAACAACTAGCTGAGAGTCACTGCTTATGAGGAGCCTCTTTACCTACATTTCCTTGGCCAGCCTGAGGCTTGCAAGTAGTGCCTCGTATTCTGCTACATTGTTGGTGGCCTTGAACCAGAACCTCACCGCTGAGTTTAGCTTGTGACCTTCAAGGCTGATGAGAACCACTCCAGCACCTGAGCCGGTGTCTCTAGTTGACCCATCCACGAATAAGTTCCATGTAGGGGGCTTGGCGGGTTCCATGATTTCATCTATCTCGGGTAAGTTGGTGAATTCTGCCACAAAGTCAGCCAAGGCCTGACCCTTGATGGCCGTCCTAGCCTTGAACACGAGGTCAAATTAGCTTAGCTCCACTGCCCACTTCAATAATCTTCCTGAGGCATCAGGCTTTTGGAGCACTTGCCTTAAAGGAAAGTTTGTTAGCACGTGGATGGTGTGAGCTTGGAAGTAGGGTCTTAGTTTCCCGGAGGCCGTGATCAAGGCCAAAGTGAGCTTCTCCATATCGGGGTAACGGGTTTCCGACGATAGAAGTGCTTTACTTTTATAGTAAACTGGAAGTTGGGTGGTTCCCTATTCTCAAGTCAGAGCCGAACTGATGGCCGCATTTGAGACGGCCGAGTATAGTTGTAAGATTTCTCCGGGCTTCGGTTTGGAGAGGAGGGGGCCTATCCCAAGTGCCTTTCCATGCCTCTTTACATTCCTCGTTCTATTGGAACTTCTTCTCAGCTTTCAGCACTTTGAAAAATGGGAGGCATTTGTCTGTAGCTTTAGAGACGAAGCGGCTAAGTGCGGCCACCCGCCCAGTCAAACTTTGCACTTCCTTTGGGTTTTGGAGAGACCTCATCTTGTATAGGGCCTCAATCTTCTCTGGGTTGGCTTCAATTCCGCGTTGATTGACTATATATCCCAAGAATTTGCCTGAAGCCACTCCAAAGGCGCACTTGAGGGGGTTGAGCCTCATCCTATATCTTCTCAAGATCTGGAATGTGCTGTTGAGGTGCGTTATGTGGTCCTCAGCCTCCAGACTTTTTACCAACATGTCGTCCACGTATACCTCCATCGTCTTGTCGATGAGGTCCATAAACATTTTGTTGACAAGCCTTTGATACGTTGCTCCAGCATTTTTCAACCCGAAGGGCATCATCGTATAACAATAGAGGCCTCAATCTGTGATGAAAGAAGTGTACTCCTCATCAGCCGGGAGCATGGGTATTTCGTTGTAGCCGAAGTATGCATCCATGAAACTCAACAAATCGTACCCAGTCGTGGAGTTTACTAGTTGGTCAATCATTGGGAGAGGAAAACTGTCTTTCGAACAAGCTCTGTTGAGGTTGGTGAAATCGATGCACACCCTCCACTTGCCATTGTGTTTCTTTACCAAAACCGAGTTGGAGACCCACCTCGGATAGGTAGCTTTCCTGATAAAGCCATTTTGGATGAACTACTGAACCTCTTCCTTCAGAGCCTCGTACCTTTCAGGATTGAGGGCTCTCCTTTTTTGTCTATGTGGGGCAATCTTAGGATCGACCTTCAGATGGTGACAACTGACCTTGGGGTCTATGTCTACCATGTCCTCATGCTTCTAAGCAAAGACATCAAGGTTCTTACTTAGGAAATCTTTAATCTTTTCCTTCAGAGTGTTGGATAAGCCCTTGCCTACTCTCAGCATCTTAGATGGGTCTCGGGTGTCCACCGAGAAGTTCTCAAGTTCCTCGACTGGGGATGCTTGAGGTTCGTGTTCAATTATGCGAGGATCGATCTCATCAATGACCAAGACCTCCAGATTGGGTGGTGCATCTATCATATCGATATCTTCTGGTTCAGTGGGAGCATCACCTGGGACATCAACCATGAGTATATCGGCTATGATTACGTGGACGTCCCGGGGCTCTACCTTTTTGATGGAGCTTAGATAACACTCTCTTGACCCTCTTTGGTCACCTCTCACCATTACTACCCCATTTTTCGTCGGGAATTTTATGCATAGGTGTTGGATGGAGATGACTGCTCCCAATTCCTTTAGGGCTGGCCTACCTAATACTCCATGGTAAGCCGATTGACTGTCGACAATGAGGAACTCCATGAAGTTCATTGTAGTTTGGGGAGACTCTCCCATCTCCACTGCAAGCGTTATCTTTCCCCTTGGAGTGGTGCTATCTCCTGTGAATCCGCACAGAGGAGTTGTGGTGGGTGTCAATTGATGATCCAATATCATCTTGTCAAAGGCAGATTCGAATAGAATGTTGACAGAGCTACCTTTGTCAACTAACATTCACTTGAGCCCATTTCGGGCTATGACGACCCTCACAACAAGTGCATTGCAATGGGGGGTAGTGAACTCCTTCGGTGTCTTCCTGAGTGAAGACAATGGGTGAAACTTGGTTCCTCTGGGAGCTACTGTCCACAATGTAGCTTGTCAAAGGGGGGTAATTAGCTTCCCGAGCGCAACTCCTTTTGGCGTTTCGTGTCTTTCTATCGACATATGGGCCTCCAAATATGGTGTCTATCTCGTAGATAGGGGCCTCATCCTGGGTTTGTCGATTTCTTCGGTGCTTGCGTCCTTTCCTACGCCTCTCCGTCTCACGCTTCCTCCATCGTGGGAAAACATCCCTTTGACAGGGAGCAGCCTCCTCAAGCCCACGTCGATTGTCGTGCCTGGGCGGGGGCCTACTCGCCTGGGGTGATTCATTTCTATCTCTAGGGGGTTCCAGCCGGGAGCGTGCGCATAGTCTCAACAATCCGCAATGTCATGTCCATAGGACCGATGGTGTAAACAGTATCACGGCGGGTTCTGATTTGACCTATTTCTAGGTCCAGAACCCCAGCCTCGGCCTCTCCTCCTACGGGATCCTTATGGGGTTTCCGTCTGTCGGGTGTCAGTAATTGGGTTGATATCCTCAGATGCCAAGGTAGGAACCACGTTTAAAGTGGTGGTGGCAAGTGCTTGACCAGAACTCTCATTTCTAGCCTGGTTCATTTGGTAGTCCATAAGATGGGAGGTCGGCCCTCGAGCACACTGCCTTTGAGGACGTGGGAGGCCTCGACTTGTCCTGTTTCTATGCTCAATCAATTCTTCGTTAATGATTTTCCGCCTCATCATCTCGAGTAGGGCATCATAGGTGGTGGGACCTTGATTCTGCACGTCCCTCCAGAATAGGGTATTCATGTTCAAACCTCCTCTTAATGCGAGTAGTGCTTCACGGTCGGTGACTTGCACGCAATACGTCATTTCATCGGTGAAGCAAGATAGGAAGCTCTTTAGGGACCCCCCATGCGCTTGTCTCATGTCTTGGAGACATTGGATGGGGGCCTCTCCTTCTTTACTTACCGCAAACCTCTTCAAGAATGTTATCTTGAACTCGGGCCAGCTTCTTATGATCTCAGGTGGTAACCTACTATACCATATTTCAGCTGCTCCACTAAGTGTCAAATGGAAAGCTCTGCACTTCACAGCTAGGGTGGCGCCCTGAGGCTCATGTGGGTTTTATAAGCATTCAGGTGCTTCTCCGGGTCGCCTCTTCAGTCATATTTTGGTATCTTTGGCATCACATAGTGGCTTGGAACCTGGGCATTCCTTAATTCCCTTGAGAACGGTAGATTCTCATCGTCATCGTCCAAGTCACAAGACCTCTGCTACTCATCTGAATCATATTTCTCGGCCTCTTGCCATGGTTGTTGGTGAGAGGTTTCGGGACGGTTCCTAACCTCTTCCTCCCTCCTCTGGCGCCTATTTCTAGGCGGAGCAACACGGGTAATATTTTCATGTCTTTCTTCCGGCTACTGGGGCAGCGGAGGTGGAGGCTGTGGCCTTGTCCAAGGCTGGTGTGTCTGTTGTTGTCTAAGCCTCGGTTCAGCGGGGCTAATTCTATCAAATACACTGCCTACCCTCCTATGTCTTGACTCTTGCTCATACGGAGGTGGGAAGTTATCATGGTTCAATGGGACCTCGGTGGGTCGGCTAGAAGCGTAGTTGGAGGAAACATCAACTTCCACTTCCTTTTCAAACGGGCTTCTACCTCGGCTATAGTCCGGCGAGGCAATTCTATGACTTTGAATTTCGTCTTCTTGCTGGTAGTGCCCCTGAGGGGCGTATGGAGGAATGTGAAAGCCTTCCTGGCCCTGCATTTGGGCCATGCGTTCCCTCATAGCCTAGTTTTGGCTGGCAATATCTCTCATATTGGCCGCCATGGCAGCCATTTTTCTTGACAGTCGTGTCGTTGCTCGCATTCCACCTCTTCTTTGGTGGTGGTAGAGTCTTTGTCGAGCTGTTGGGACAACGGGTGGAAGAGGCACATTTACATTTTCTCTTACTCTTCTAGGGGGTGCGTCTTCGTTTGAACTCATTTTCTTTTAGTTTGACTTCAGATTTTGCTAAGCTGTGGGGCTTTCTCTTGTTCTTTTTCAAAAACAAATCATTTTTCAAGGGGGACGCTCAAATGCTCTTCAATAAGCTTTCACCACAAGGTTGTTCGTGGTTATGGTATGGTTTCCCACAAACAACGCCAATCTGTTGACCCCAGAAAAAGTTGCCAACAGATGCCGGACCCACCCGCGCACACGTGAGTGAAGGTCCTACACGCTAAGACAAGTGGACGGTCTGGAACGAACCTCTTTAGGGGCGTGGGAGTAGCTCAACGACGCGGGACGAGAATGTTCGAAATCTGGCGGGATATTCATAATCCGATTGTACAATAACTACCAATCGGTGCTCATGAAAATGAATGTAAATGTGTGTGAACTCGTATTATATTGTAAAGATAATAAGAGGGAGTAAAATGTGGTTTCTTGTATTGATTTTTGCATTAGCCTTTCAATGTTATACAAGGGAAGTATTTATAGTGTTACATGTGAAATGGCAGCCCTTAAATGAGGTGACACGTGGCCTCATCTTCTCAATTCAAACATCCAATCCTAGGTATCACTCTTGACTTGCAAGCTTGCTGCGCATTTATTGCTTGTGCAGAGCCCATGCTAATGATAAGACCTGACATATGCACTTATGACAAATGTTCCATCAATCATTCTAACCAGATCCTTATGTAGGAGATCTCTTGGGAGAAGTGAGTCCCTTCATGGTTCGGAGGCTTCTGCCAAACACGTAGTACTTCCGCTGTAGGGCTTCGGCAATCTTTATAGGCCTCGGTAGATGAGGCTCGGTTAGTTTCACTAGCTTCGGCACATGGGCCCCGGCATAAAGGGCGTCGGCCATTCAACCCACTTCGGCTAGAGTGCCACGTGGTTCGAACTGAGTGGGTCATAGGCCCACATCGGTTGACCAAGTATGACAACACGTAACAAAAATTACTATTGATTTGATAATTAAAATACAGAATGTGGTATAAACTTTCCAACTTTATCATGGAATGAAATTACTACAGAAATCATAAAGAAATAAAACATTAAAAGTTGAGAATTTTCGGATGCCTTACCGTCGAGGCTGTTACGACTAATATAATCATTTTTGGGACTTGGGAAACGGATTAAAAAAAAAAACATTTCATGAACTGTCGAAGATGCTCATTTTCCATCTTAAAATAGCCTTTCATAAACTGTTGAAGATGCTTGTTTTCCATCATCCACTAAAAAAGCAGTAATTTTCCTATTGAGAGAGACTATGTTTCCCATGCTTGAAAAATTGTTGTTGAGAAATTATCCACCAAAAGCTAGAATTATTTTTGAATAGAAGTCACCTCCATCGAAAGATGATTGAATTATTTGGAAGAGGAACCCTTTCTACTAATTCATTGACAGAAACTTCCTTGTAGGTGAGCTTTAAATCGAAATGAATTAGCTTATAACTTAAAAAATTAAAATAGTCATCTTCAATGTGATCAGGGTTTGAGACTTCCATGGGAGTATTATGGGACATTTAAAGACCTTTTAAATTAAAAAAGTTTAGGAGTATTCAATGTAAACTTTTTAGACCCTTTAAAAGTATTGATGTATTCAATTGAAACTTTTATAAGCTTTTAAAAAGTTTTTAAAAGTCACGATGTATTCAACTAAAACTTTTAAAAATTTTCATGAATCTTGCAGCATTCAACTTGTTAATGACTTTTATAAAAGTTTCTAGGGTACTGACTTTTAAACGGAATGTACTTTAATAAAACATCAAAATTTGTCTCTTATTCATTCCAAGATTTTTGGAGAAATAAAAAAAAATTAAATTAATATGTATTTTGTGTTTCTTTCTATATTATTCTTTCATTTTCACTTCCACAAAAACTATAGTCATGATCAAAAATTATTTTTCTACTTATTATATATGTTTCTATTTTCTATTTTTTCTCTTTCTGTTTTTTATTTTTTATCCTTATTTTTTTATGAAAAAACTGAATCCTAACTAAAGGTTCTTATAATTTTTTTTCCTTTTTCATCTAGTTTTATGAAAAAAAAACTCTATTTGTAAAATTACAAGATTTTACATAAAAAAAACGAGTAACTTATAATTAAATTTTAAAAAAAATTGATTTCTTGTTCGCTCTTCAAAGATATGTCATATTGATAAAACTATACGATATTTATTGACGATTATGCAATTTTATCATCACGCATAGATTAATCTTATCTAGTTTAGAAAATCTATTTCATTCCAATTGTAACTCTCATTCTGAACCCTATAAATTCGGTTCTTGATAAAACTAAACAATAGAGTACATATTCTTATATTTTCTTCTCTACTTGTTCTATTATCTTTATTTCATAACACCTTATCATCTTTTGTTTGGAGTCATGTCATATTACATTATGTATCATTAGTTCATATAAGATCAACTGCATACTATCAATATTCACCCTTGCGACTTACATTGATCACGAGCCTAATATTTCTCACTTATGGATTTTTGGTTGTACTGAAAAAACTACATCTCGAAAAATAAGATAAAATTTCTTGGAATGAAACGACTCTATCTCAGTTGATCCACCACAATAATAAATGCGAGTAAGAAGTTGAAAAAATGATTTATTTTTAAAGAATTGAAAATCAATTACTTGATATATTGATTGACACAAGAAGAGCGAT